TCCCAATGTACCAATAAAATATAAATATTTCTTCCTTAAAAAAATTATAAGTCACAGCAGAATGAGGTCTACCTCATTTCTATGTCCTTACATGGAAGAATTGCCAAAATAGTAAGTGATTGCAGTTACTAAATAATAGATATAAAACATAATGCTGTGCGGGTATGTGAGCATATACATATGTATTCGAGCAAACAACAAGGTCTATAAGGCGAGATGCGAACAGTGGTTACCCCCAAGGAAGTGAGAGAATAATGAGGAAACATTACAGTAAAACCTTGGGTTACGAGCATAATTTGCTCCCAATACCTGCGTGTAATCCAAAGCATTTGTATATCAAAGTATATATACTTCTGTACTTTTTACTACTTTTGAAAGGAGTACCTCTAACTCTAGGTGTTTTTGTTTAGGGTGCTGGTCTTCCCTATACTTTGCTTCATCCAGACCTCAATTAAACTCTTGCATAATCCAAACAGAAATCATTGAATATTTTTAAAAAATAGGGGTCAGGAAAATAGAAACTTTTCTTCTTATTCCTGCTAAAAATGTGACTACACAATGACAAGCTCCATTTAAGCAAGTTAAAATACACATTCTTAAAAGTTAGGCAACACTCATAGAATATGAAATGAAAATGTGGCAAATATTTAACTCATTAATGAAAGAACCAAAAGAGGAGTAAGCACTGGAAGGCAGAAAAAGGAATGTGGAAATAAAGTTCAGATACGAAACTGGTTGGTGTTCTTTATGGCAGTAGCACCACAACCTTTAGGGTTATCTTTTCCACCAGACAGAATTCATTTGCATTTTCTCTACATAAAAATTGACAAGTTACATGTAACCTCATCCTGGCTCTAATCAGGAGTAGAATTAAACAGTTTTGGGGTGGATCTGTTGCCCGGGGTTCACTACAATGTTGAAAGAACATGCAGTCTTCCATTTGCCTTCTTAAGTGTTGGATGCTTTTTCTTAACATAAGATACAAATTTACATATTGGCAACCATGGCTTTCAAGTTTCCAAATGGAGTTTGCTCTAATATTCATCTGCTTTTCACCATCTTGTATGTCTGTTTTCAATCAGGAAGGAGAATGACCAACAAGCAATTCTAGCATTGCAATAATGTTCCATTAATATATTGTAAAACCGTTTTGATACTCACCTTGATTCATATTACAACACTGAGTAATTTATGAACAATTTAAATTTTTTATCAGGCAAAACTAGAGTCTGCTGTGAGTTGATGTCAGCTTGGCAATGAATCAGTTGATAGTAATTGCAGTTTCAAATGTTCATACAGATTTTGGATGTAACAGAGCAAGTTGTTGAATTTCTTAGTCTCAGCTTCCTCTTCTATGAAAAGTAAGTTCTTCACTGCTCTGTGATATGCATGACTGTGTGATAAGCCATACATTACGAGGGTTATACAGTTGTACTTTTATTTTATTTATTTATTTTCTTTTTTTTTTGGTTTTTCTCTGGTACCGGGAACCGAACTCACGACCTTGCGCTTGCCAGGCAGGCACTTTTGCCGCTGAGCTAAATCCCTAGCCCCTACAGTTGTACTTTTATTTTACTGTTCTATGCAAATTCAAAACCATGTTTCTTAACTTGCAGGTTTTTCTTTTTATCATTTGTGTTTTACTAAATGGATTTGTGCTTTTACCTTCTTAAAATTTTGAAAAGCATGAACTATGCTTTTTTCATCTTACCATCTGCTTTATTTTTCCAAAAACAAAAATTAAATTGTATTTGTCATCCTTCTTTCCTTTATGTAGAAATGGGCTGTTTTGAAGTTCCATTATGTTAGATGTGAAATGTAATGAATCTTTTTCCTTCTCTAACCAAAAACCATCTTAAATTGGAATCGTGTTCTAATTTATTATCACAGTTTGAGAAATGCAGAATGTGCTAAAATCTGAATTTGTATGGAAGCCTGTAAATTACACCCTTAGCTCACACAGCAACCATTTGGTCTGCTTTTTGCCAGGCTTTTGAAAACATATGCCACGTGATGTTCAACAATTAGTTTTTTAAAAAAAAAAAAACAGTGTCAGCCCAATTCCCTAAATAAATTCAACATCATAGTTCCAGGCAGAGACATACTACCTGATTTCCTTAGCACAAATTTCTAGTCAGAGAACAACACATAAGTAAATTAGCATCATGCTGCAGATTTGACAAAACCAAGAGGTGACATCTTTGATCTGTGTTACACACATCCTGTTATTTTCTGAAGCACTCTCACAGGCAGTATTTAATTTGCCTAAAAGTACCTTTCCGTGTTACAACTTTATTAAGTATAGTTTGCATGCAATATAAAATCCAAAAAGCTTAAAAACTTATTTTAAAAAATGGTGCAGAAACTCTAAATACACTTTAAAAACCACCTATCGATACAATTCAAATAGATGAACTGTATGTGAATATCTCAATATAGCTTTTTTGTAAATGTGTCAGCAGAAAAGAAAATCAAGTAAACACTTATAACAATTTGTGCAAATTAGCTACTTTCAAATTGTTACACTTACAGGCACTTGTTTTTACTTCTCAATTTTTCTGCTGGTAAAAAGAGGATATCGTGGGATAAAATGGAATTTTTCCAGTTAGAAGTATTTTTTTTATGTAATGGCTTGTAATGCGGAAGAAACATTTTCTGGGACAAACTGAAGCTTTAAGCACGAGGTAGGTTTAATTATTTGACACCTGCAGTTAAATTTTTAAGAGGACTACACTCAGACAGGAGACACTGAGATGAGTATCAGTGTAAATGCCGGGTTCGTTTGTCCCGACAGAGATAAAATATAGTATGTCCACTAGGAAAGATTTACAACCTGCACAATAATAGGAGGGCAAGGTTACATTTAGGGTAAAGACACCAGTGAGAGAAGACAAAATCCAGGAAAGACACAGACAGGAGCAGCCAGGCAGGCTCAACTCTAGCTTGCAAGTTCAGTCTGCTCTTCCCCCAGCGGCACTACAGTTCGCTACCACAAAAACAGCCCATGGCTGCATTCACTTCCAGACTTCCAAAAAGGGCAACTAATAACTTTTTAAACTCAAAAGCACAACTTAAACCAATTTTTTCTATTTTACTATACTTTGTGGGAGACAATTCTGGTATCACACAATTTTCTGCTTTGTTTTTGCAGAGAAAAAACCCTAGAAGACAAGTATTTTTCTAATAGAAAAAAGAAACACTGAAATGTGGGCAAGATGCATAATATCGAAGTAAGACTGCCTTTAAGGTAAGTATCAAAGGTATTAGCCCCACAGAAACTTAGAATCTAAATGTACAATGACTACTTTCAAAGAAGAGAAATGAGGTAAACACATTATTCTTTAGTTACGTCCAGTAACAAGAGAAAATAAGTGCCTGGGTCTCCAATCAGCAAGGCCCGATTTGCACTTCAGTGACTTTTTTCAATGAAGAAACTAGGAGTAAAATCCAGCAAACCATATGACATTTTTTAACAAGTATTCTTTTTCTTATTGTATCTGATGCTAGTAAAGAGTAAAGAGAAGAGCGTATGTGCTAAGAGAGTATAAAGTCATTTAAGTATTTTTTTAGGTATTGGATTCTTTGCGTGGAATGGCTTTAAGGTCTCCTAACATTTACAGATTTGACTTTTTTCAAAAAGTTTTTTTGAAAAGGATTTCCCTGCTTTCATGCAACTTTATAAATTCTATTGAAGACATTTCCAACAATGGAGAGATAAATCATTGGAAAATGTGAATAATTCCAGAAATATATTTTCCTTTCTAGCCATCAAACTTAATTTCCTTTTCATATTCATTCACCTGCAGCACAAATTCTCCACATATTCTTGCCAGATATTATTTATGAACTACACACACGGCAATTACTTTGTCTGCTGCATGAGCTCACTTTTTCACAAAAAGAAAGATAAAAGAATTCTGCTAAGGCTGATGGTGGCGACTGTGTCTGAGGCCACAGCCAGGTCCTGCGCCTGCCACTAGGACATCAGGCACTGTCTTTTCTCCCCAAAAGGGTCGTTTCCACCCAAGAACAGTTTGCTGCAGCAGTAATAAACTAGCCTGGGAGATCTCAAGTTGAGGGTCATATGTTTGAAAGCCAAACCGCAACAATAAAAATTTAAAGATGTGGATGGGACAGTTGGGCTTTGGCTTGCTTTCTCTGCAAGTCCTTCCCAGTTCTGAGAGCCTCATCAGAACGTAGTCGCTCGCTGGCAGTACCTAAATACAGTGGACTTTCTAAAGCTTTACACTCACCGTGTTGCTATCAATTCCTTACTCTGTCCACCCTACACCACCCATAAATCCTTACATAAAGACTACAAATACTTAGCTTAAAGTGGTAATGATGAAAAACACTTCATTATCCACAGATAGAAATCTATATTCAATATACAGTATTTTTAAATCTTAATCTATCGTATCAATGATTTCTAGAGAAAATCAAGTGTACACTGAATTCTAATTCCTCTCCTGTGTGACATGTACTTATTTTTAAGGCCAAATATTACGTCTTTCCAGCCCAGCTACATAAGATAGCTTTACTCTCAAAGCAAATGCTCTAAGGGAGAAAATGAACAAGGGATGACTCTAGAGAACTGGGAGATATAACAGTGCAATGAAACCCGACAGGCTATAGAACCAAAAATAAAAATCTACACATTTTGAAATAAATGGGGAAATATGAATATGCTCTAGATACGGAGGACATTATAGAACTATTAACTTTATGAGGTGTTATAATGGTATTATGAATATAAAAGAGGAGGTGTTTATTCTTGAAAGATGCAGGCTGAAATATTTAGGGCTGAAATACAGTGATAGTTGTATCTTATCCTCAAATGACTCAGCAAAACATTTTATTTTTAAATATAGAGAAAAAGCAAATGTGACACAATGTTAACAACTGATGATACTAAGCCAGGAGTATCTCACTGTTGATGGCATTGTTTTCACCTTTTCCATAGATGAATTTTTTTTCAAATAAAAAATAGCAACAGTAAGTTTTACTGAAGAGAATTCCACATTTATTTAAAATATTATACAATAATAATACACACTTATACATTGAGATTACTTATTTATACTTTATAAAAATCAGCCCTATGAAAATAGTTTTCAACTTGAAATTAACAATCTTAACATTAACTTTCAATGCTAATGCATGAATCTCTGATCTTAAATATAAATCAAAAGAGTTCAATGCCTATCTTAAATTACAGCCAATTAGATGCAGGTATAAGGATCATAAATTAGTATTTCAATTAAATTAAAAAGTTTAGTAATTTTTTTCAATATTTCTTCTTTGTTTTTCTTCTTTGTCTAGAATAGTCTGTTTTAAACTCAAAGTAGCATCTTGAAATCCAGGATTTAAATCTAATACTTTCTTGAAATCTTCCAAAGCTTCATCAAAATATCCTGTACCAGGATTCAAAAAAATGGAAAAGAGAAAAAAGCCTGAGTATTTCTACATATTATTCATAGCAAAATCTGGATACACATAGTGTTGCTTTCTATTTATGAGCTTTCAATCACACCTAAAAAAGGAAGCTTTTTTTAAAATGATGATACAGAGATATGTACATCAAAGTAATGCAGTGTGCCCTTACAGAATAATTATGCCCAAAATTGGCTATGCAGGGCTGGCATATAGCTCAGTGGTAAGGCATTTGCCTAGAATGTGACAGTCCCTGGGTTCAATCCTGAGCACCACAAAAATTAAATCGATCAATTAATCAATCTAGCTGTGGGTTTATAAGATTTAATGGGTAAGTAGCATACCTTATAAAATCTCAACAAGCATATCACCTCTTTACACAAGTGCAGGGAAAATGAGAAACAGGAAACAGAGTCCCTTCAATACAAGGGACTTAAACTTCTTCACTATATTGTCATGCGTATCTCAAAGGTTTTAACTCACAAAGGGTCACAAGCTGCCAGCATCACCCTCACTTGCAGCTGGGAACTTGATGGGGTGATAGGGTCAACCCAGTCCTGGGCCCAGGTGCAATTCTTGCCTCAGCGCTCCACTGTGACCTCAAATGCCTATCAAATGCCTAAAATAAGCTCAGGCACATTTTCTGTGTTCCAAGCACTAAACCTAAATTTCACTTAACTTTAAAACCTGATCATCACTACATTCATTTTATGACAGCTAATAGCTTTGAAATAACAGAACACAATGAGAAAAACAAAACACTAAATTAAATATAAATTCTTACCCAGTCTATACAATATCAGCCCTCTGTTGTAATACGGAACTTCAAAGCTGGGTTGGACTTCTATGGCAGATGTGTAGTCATCCATGGCTTCATAAAAATCAACCCTGAAGTACTTGATTTGCCCCCTGTTGTTATATGCAGTAGCCAAACCCTCAGGGCTGCATTTGCTTTAAACAAAAAGTTCACATTAAAAACACCGTTATCAAATTATTCTCATTTCCATTTTCATTTTCTTTTTAGCACTGTCAAACTTCATGGCCTGTAACACGCCATACCACACTGGAAAACCAGGCTAAAGAAACAAAGCTAAAATATATAAGGTACTGAAATCACTTTTTTTCTATTTTGTAGGGTTATAGTACTACAACGTCAATCTGAAAAGCACATGAGCCAGGTGTGGTAGCACTCAGGAGGCTGAGGCAGGAGAATTGCCATGTGTTCGAGGTCAGCACAGGCTACATAGTGAGTTTAAGGCCAACCTGAGCTGCATAGCGAGACCTTGTCTCCAAAAAAATTATATAATTTTTTAAGATTTAAAAATGAAAAGCACATGAAATTTTACAGTGTGTTCAAAGCCCCTGTTCACTGTCACATGCTTTGATGAATATATTAGAATTGTTCATTTTCTAAGCATACACTAGTGGGGCAAGGATCAGACACAGGAAGGGAAGCTAGCCCAAAGTTCAAGTTTACTACCGGTGCGTCACACAGCAAATTATTAACATCCCTGTCAACATCTTAAAACAATGTGATTTAAAAGTATATTCACCAACAAAGAAACGCAAGTTAGGCCTGGGTGAAACTTAAACAACCTGATCCCCAGAGTGACCTGGCATGGCTGGGATCACCCCAAGGCCAGCCTGGCTTCCTGATACGAGGGTGGGCTCTGATACACGCTGGAGATCCTGTGTAGAATCAGCTCTGGCCCCAAGAGCACTAGAGGCTGCCCCAAGAAGGCAAAGTGAGAGGACTTCCCCATGAAGGACTGGACACCTGGACACCCTGGAAGCCACCACAACAGGTCAGCCCCTACCTCTCATGGCCCTGAGCCTTTGTCCACATAGGACAGATCACCTACACAGACAGCGTTAGGGTCTCTGCTGTGAGTTGGGGCAAGGTTTTTCCACAGTGGCTCTCACATTGGAACCAGAGAAGCTGCGCATTAGACTTACCTATCATTTCTTTGTTACACCCTATGGTGAAAAGTAGCCTTCAGAAAAGATGTGTGACTGCAGTCAGCTACATCCCTCAACATCCTGATCCTTCAGATCTCAGAAAAGGACTGTAACTGTTGCAGCCTGCAAAGGTACTCGCAGTCTCAACTTGCTAACCATGAAGACTTACTGCGATTTGGGAAAATTTCTGCTCTGTAAGCCCTGAATAAGACTGGCACCAAGATACTTCCAGATGCCACTGCAGCACTGTTAAAGCTAGAGAGCAAGAGGGCCCACGCCCTTCATCTGTTAGGGTACCAGCTGATCTGTTAGCCATTAAGAGTGTGAAGAAAAAAACAGTTTCAGAAATTTAGTAAGGTTTTAATCCTTAAACTTAAAGTTTTGAGGCTTTGCCATAAATTCTTATATTCAGTATGTTAGATTTAGATTCAGACCTCATTAAAACAAATTTTAAAAGCCTACTACTTTTCATGCAGAAATTTTGTTTCCAAGTTTAAACCAATCAGCTAATGTTTATGCTGAAAATTTTTTGTAATATTGATGTTTCTGTAAAGCTAGTATTTTTTGTAATAGATTTTTAACCAAGTCACCTAATGTGGACTTTTAGCATTTGCTAGCTTTGGCAAAGACAAAATATTTGAGAATTCAATTACAGTTAAGGCTGCACCTTTGGATATTAAGAAGAAAACACAACGAACCTTTCAGAATAAAAGATGTTTAAAGATCGCAAACACTATTTCAAAATGATTCAGTGCCCCAATGTTTTAAAAATACATTTGAACTCCAAAAGATTACATTTAGGGGGAAAACAACTGGCAGAATTCAACTTCAACACATGAAACTGTCAGGGGACTTTTAGAACTGTAAGGAAATGAAGGGTAATTTTACAGATGAGAAACTGAGGCTGAGGAATGATGCCTGTAGCGCACCAAAGCCAAGATAAGAACGCAGGCACGTGGAATTCCCTCCAGCTGGACCATGGCAAATTTTATTTTGTTACGCCAGTGAGGGGCAGAAATTACATTTAACAGGAACATTTCGGTTCCTAGCCTGACGTGCAGAGGAAGAATAACGGGACTGGAAAGCGTCCACATACCTGCAGCTGATGAGTACTGTTTGAAACCTAGACACCTCTATTCTTAGAGCTTGAAACTAAGTTTCCTATGCTTACCAATCTTTTTGGGGAGAGTGAGGCAAGCACAGTGCACCACCCTATCGCCTGTTCAGAAACTTCTACTACTGTTCACAAACTTTTACTGGTGTATTATTGAAGAAAGCATATTTATCTTTCTGGTTTAATGCCACATGAGCATAAAAAGAATAAATATCAAGCCCTTAGTGTCCTGGCATTCTACTAAGAAAAGTCAAAGCCTCCAAGGGAGAAGAGAGTGATGCGGATTATTTCACAACTGTCAAAAAAAAGTCGTCCAGCCGGGCGTGGTGGTGGAAGCCTGTAATCCTAGCACTCGGGGAGGCTGAGGCAGGAGGATCGTTGCGAGTTCGAGGGCAGCCTGGGCTACAAAGTGAGCTTAAGGTCAGCCTGAACCGCACAGCGAGACTCTGTCTCAAAAAGACAAAAAAAAAAAAAAAGAAAAAAAACCAGTCCAACTAACTCCTCTCCACTGCCCGCCACCCCTAGTCCACTGCACACGGTCAACAAGCACAAGAGCAAACCCTGAAGCAACAGCAAATGCTACACATCCAAGAATAACTCCTGAAGAGCTTTTGGACACTCAGATACGAGCAGGTTACTTTAACATCGCAAAAAGGAAACCCAGACTTGACACGCCTCCCTGTGGAAGCGCACAGTCCCGCAGGCGTTCTTGCCATAATACTGGATCTGATTTGGATCTAAACCTCAGGATTTAAATACGAGTTCACAAGCAATGTAAGAGACAGATGACCATACTAACAGACATGAGAAAGATGCTTCCAGCAAATCCTAACTATGGACACTGTCAAGACACACAGGTCTGTGTCCTCAACCCATCAACTACAAGCAAAGAGGGTAGCAGCTTAAACCAAGGGCTACACACCCACCAACCAAATATCAACAGGCACACTTTATTCGTCAATCAGGAAAGTTCGAACACGTACTGGATGTGAGATATTAAGAGTCCTGTGATGAAGTTACGGTTGTCTTTTTAAGAATCCTTCATTTTTAGGAAAGCATCCCGAAACATCCACAAATACGATGTCTGGGTGAACTGATCGTTCTTAAACCCAGCAATGAACGCCTGAAAGCTCATTAAACATTTTCCCCGTCTATTTAAACGTCCACAACAAGAAAACAGAACCGCCTGCTGGGACGCTGCGAATGACGCCCGGCCCTCCCCGGGTCTCGGGTCCCCATCTGCCGCAAAGGACAGCGAACGAGGACCGGGAGGAGCCACGGAGGGGCTGCCTGCCGCCCCGGTCCTAGGACCAACAAGCCCCCGAAGTCCGCGCTGGGGCGCGACCGGAGAGGCCGGCTGGCGCTGGCACGGAGGAGGCCACGACGCCGCGTAGAGCCCCAGGCCGGGACGCCCGCCCCCAGGTCTCGCGACAGGTACCTCTCGGGTCCCGGGCCGGCCGAGGCCGCACAGGCGCACTGGCGAATGTAAGCCGAGTACAGCGCCTCGGCCTCCGTGTAGTCCCCCTTCTCGAAATGCGCCTGAGCGACTGCTAAGGTTGCCTGGCTTTCTTGTCCTTGCTGCCCTTCCATAACTGTCGGAGGCTTGGCTTTCGATGTGGAATGAGTATAGATTTCGGAGCGACTAAAGCCACTTCCGAGCCTCTGTGTTTAAATTTGCCCACAAAACTGGCGCAAGGAAAGGAGGAAGTTTGTGCCTTCTGAGGACCCGTGTTCTCGCGAGAACTGGTCCGCTGCCGGCGTAGCGCGGGAATTCTGGGTACCTTTGAATAGGCATTGTGGGTAGTGTTTCTCCTTTGTTGGTCCTGTTTCTTCCCCAGAAAAGCAATAAATCGATGGTCCCCGTGGTTTCCAAGTCTGTGTCTAGTGTCGCGAGGCTCTTGCCCCTTGTGATCCATGCTGATTGGATGAAACGAAGAAACGAAACCACATAGTTGTGTGAATGACTAATTGGCCTGCGGTTACTGTAGCTTCCTCCCGATGCAAGGTTCACATTTAGGGAAGAATTAAGAGTCCTGAGTAGGCTATGATTACCCGGCGACGCTCCGCGTCCAAATCCTGTGAGCTTTGCCCCTGTATTAGCTCCAACACTAGATGGCAAACTTCACCTTAGTGACCCTCTGGGATCGTGTAAGGATTAAGTAGTACACTGTGGAGTCTGTGGGCTTTGATACCAGCATACATTTTCTAGCTGTTTATAGCAAAGAGAAATCCAAATAATAATTCATTAAGTACATTGAATAATCCAAATTAAAATTATATAAATAGCTATCCTATGCGGTGTTCTGTCTTCTTGAGATCCCTGGATTTTGTTTTACTTCTCAAACTACTTCAGCATCTCTCAATCAGAAAAACTAGACTAAAAAGAGAGAGAGAGAGAGATCTTTGCATGAGAATGCCCCAGTACTATAGAAATTGTGCACTTTTTCTTTATTTTCATTAACTATGACTGAAAAATACAAGCACAGTACACTGATGTTTGAAATATACTAGTAGAAATTACGCGACTGGCAAGACTACTACCCAAAACAGAAAACTAGTGTTTTCTGTCATGTTAAAAAGTTTGAAATTTTCAGCACCCACTCATTTGATAACACACTTTTGCCCAGCACTGAACTAATAAGGACTAAACACACACGATAAAAATAAAAAATCATCCTCTCTCTCGAGCTAATGATACATCTTGCCCCAAAAAGTTAAAACATACTCATGTCCTTATCTACGTCTAAGAAGCCTGGAAGATATTACTACCAATTGTATAAAACTATAGAGACTTCTAAGAGTATACTGTGAACAACTGTATGCTGAAAACTGGGTAACTAGATGAAAGGGACAAATTCCTAAGGACAGAAAACCTACCAATTTTAAATCAGGAAAAAACAAAATCTGAAGACATATAACTAGTAAAGAGATCGAATAAGTAAAAAAGACACTTCTTAGCAAATATAAGTCCCAGACAAGACGGCGTGGCTGATGAGTTCTACCAAACATTTAAGGATGATCCAACACCAATCCTTAAACTACTAAAGTTGAACAGAAGGTAACACTTCCTGGCTTATTCTATAAGACCAGCGTTGCTCTGGTGCCAATGCCAGACAAAGGCTCTAGAAGAAAAGTACTGGCCAATATCCTTTGGGACATTGATGCAACAACCCTCAACAAAACACTAGCAAGTCAGACTCAGCAGCATATTAAAGAATTATATACAATGACCAAGTGCAAATCATTCCTGGAATTCGAGGATGAGTCAACACATGAAAATAAATGTACTACACCTCCTTAACAGAATAAAGGAAAACACTACAGGGCCATCTCAATTGGTGTACAAAACCCATTTGATTAAATTCAAAATAATTTGATAATTAAAAAAAACAGCAAGCTAGGAGGACTCTAATTCAACTTTGAATATAAAAGTCATATATGAAAAACCAACAATCAGCACCAATGAAGGCTGCAAGCTGTTCCTCTAAAATCAAGAACAAGGCTCACTTTCACCACTTCTGTTCAACATACTGCTGAAATTCTAGCCAGAGCAATCAGGAAAGAAAATAAATAAATAAGTGAAAGCCATCCAAAGTGGAAAGGAAGATATAAAATGATCTCTGTTCACACACGATATGCTCTTATACATAGGTACCCTGAACACACACACACACACACACACACACACACACACAGAACTATTAAATTAATCCAATAAAGTGTCAGGCTACAAAACCAACATGCAAACATCAGTTGTATTTCTACACAAACAATGAACAACCCAGAAAGAAACACTGTTGAAAGAGATAAAAGAAAAGAAATAAATAATATCCCTTCTCACAGGATAGTTATAGACCAGAAGACTTAACAATGCTGAGAGGGGCTGGGGATTTAGCTCAGCGGCAAAGCGCCTGTCTGGCAAGCGGAAGGTCGTGAGTTCGGTTCCCGGTACCGGAGAAAATCCAAAA